TGTACAAATTAAATCAACAATAAATAACAAATTTAGTAAATTATTATTTTCACAGTTTCTAATATCGTTTTATTTTGGACTCCAAAGTGATCCGTTGGGGCGCTTTCTTATTAGTAAAAGTAAAAGATATAAAAGATAATGATATAAGACCATTGGCCATCTATCATGTCCACAATTTGAAACTGCATAATAGTGTTAAGGAAATGTAAATAAAAATTGAATTAACATTATTTTAAGAGTTTTTAGGTGTTTGTTATTTTGTTCTAGTATTTGGAATCTCTCCCAGGTAAAATATTTAAATATAAATTACTCTTTATAAAAATATTTATAAAGTAATTTTGTATACTTGTTGCAGACAGAACTTACTTACACATGTTAAAGCATTAGACTCAGTCTTTTTTTTGTGTTCCTAACTAAACTTTTCTTTGCTGCTAGCAATAGAGTAAACTCTCATCAGAAAATTTCTATCAAAATTTTATATTTTGCATGGTATATTTTATTTAAACTGTTCAATCAGGGTTTCAGTATGCACTTATCATTTGAGTAAAAACTAATTAACAAAGCCAATTTTAGTTTCAGTTCGTCACGTATTCCCATCTTCTTCAGAATATCTTGAAACCGTCTTTTGACAGCTCCTACAATATAATGCTAAAATACATGCTAAAAAGACATGTCACTGAGCTATTCCCAATTTTAGCGCCATGAAATATAAAAAACAACATATTTTTCAACATTTGATGCACTGAAAATATTTAAAGCCAACATTTACTCATATGTATCGGGTAAATTGATTTGCTGTTTTATCTGTAAGCTTCTGTGAGTCCGGAAACTGCTTAGTTTGCGAACAAGAATCATAGTCGATTGGCCATTGTCCCGAGTCCCGACATCCAGCAAGTGGCCAAGTCGGCAAATTGCAAATTCGTTTCATTTCCACATAAATTTCGTGCAAAAAACAAATTCCCATCGAGAAATGTACTCTCGTTGTCCGATCGTAAATTTCAAATTTTTCATAAAAATGTCATAACAGCAATTTCAGCGACAATGGTAGAATACAGAAACAACACGATAACACCAACTACAAAATGAACTGACTTTGGCTCTGTCGGCGTTTTTCATCTCTGAAATTTATGGATTTTTCGTATTTTCGCTTAAGGGTAAGAACAACATACACTCACAAGTTTGAGTTTAATAAAGAACGGGAGAGAGTGGGAAGAGATGCAAGACAGAGAGAGAAAGATAGAGCCCTTGCGAATTTTTATGCGTACAATAAAAAATAGCAATAATAATTTGTAGTGACTAAATTTTACACTAATTTTTATTAAAAAACGCAGCAAGTACATATGTACACATCTGTGTATCTGTCTGTGCAGAAACCTCTTGCTATTGTTACTCAGTTCTCTGAATGTTCCGAATATAATATGACGACCCATAATGTCTCAGATCCGACAGCAACATTTTCCCGCATTTAGGCGCGCTTTTGTCACATGTGGCACACACAAGCGCACCGCTCACAAGAAACAAGAAATTGTAGGTATAAACAACATGAATAATACAAAATAATTTAAGCAACAATAACATTTTGCCAAACAAAGCATAAAACACTTAAGAAGCCGTTTCACTCGCTCGCTCTCGCGCAGAGCTTAAGCACTTGCACTCAAACCGATAGTTTCGCTCATCAGTTGCTGTTCTTTTGGTTTGTTGTGGCAATTGCTGTGGCTGTGTGTGTGGTTGGTGTGGGCGCTCAGCGCATACGCATTCGCATTCTCACGTTATAAACATCAAAATTAAGCATCAATTGGGCGCGCACTAAAAACCAGAAATCGTATAGGAAAATGCTACACAAAACGACTCCAAAAACGCACTCAAACTCGCTCTTGCACTCAATTACGCTCAGTTGGCGTTGTCTCCGACTCGAACTGAACGGCCATCATGCCTCAGCGCACGCATACACACACACGTTCCTGCACACGTATACACGACAAGCAAGAGCAACGGCTGCTGCTGTTGCTGTTGCTGGTGCGCTGGTGCTGCTGCTGTTAACGTTTTATTGCGATACGCTGAGAGCGAGCGAGACAAACAGCTATGAGATCCTATTGCTTATTGCCATCGCTGTGCCGTCGGCGTCGACAGAGACACGAGACTATTGACTGCATATTTTCGTGTAAATGCGCGTTCATGTGTGTGTGAGAGACTAAGCGCAGCGCTTGAAATGAATTGCTGCTGACTGGGCGACGGCGACACTGCCTCTGCGTGGCCAAAGCTGCGGCCTCAGCCTCGCATGGCTTTTGTATTGCGCCATAAACGTTTCGCTGCTCGTAACGCCACAACGGCCGACGCGGACACAGCGCCAGCAGCAAAGACCCGCACCCACTTGTACCCGTACCCGGCATCGAGGCGGAGACAGCGATCCAACAGCGCGGGCGTCGCAGAACCCCAGTCAGACGTCGCCAGACAGACAAACTCAAACCCAAACTCTCCACTGTCGCCGCAGTCGCCAAGTGCTGCGCTGTTTGCGCCGCTGCCAACGCCGGCAGCAAAAATTACCAATTACACGAAATTTTTATACTCTTTTAAAAATTTCGTTTTATTATAATATTTATTATCGTGGCGCGCAGTAGTGTCTGCGGAACAGCGCTCGCAGCTCAACTCAACTCAGCTCGGCTCGACTTGGCCTGACTTCACTTGGCCGATCTCCGATCCGATTCGATTTGTCTCGCCCCGCGTTCGCATTCGCAATCGTTCTGTTTATTATTTTGTGGCATTCTTATTGTCGTTAAACTGTTGGCGCTTATTACGGACTTTATAGTGCGGCTTATAGTAACACGAAGCGCGCGTAAAAAAATCACAAGTATATTTACACACACACATTATCAATCAAAATAGCAATCTATCAACCAGCAAAAAACTTTACACTCGAACTTCAGTTTGCAGTAAGCGGTAATCACTTATTGGCGATCGTTAATAAGTAATCTGTGCGTAAACAAAAACAAATACAGAACTGTCACAACAATGAGTGCACATAAATATTAAAGGTCGTAAAGTTGTAAACGCACAACTCGATAATTTTTCACCTACCTTTGAGCCGGGAAAAGTGTTTTATGCCATTTAAAACAAAGCGATTAAAGCGGATCTCCCTGCTACAACTATCCATCGACTATAGCTTGCCACACGCACTCGAAAGGTCGTAAAAAAGACGCGCCGGGACTTTCTTCCACAACGCCCACGCTCTGAAAACTGTGACGGTGAATCATCGCAAGAAAATCCAAGGCCATAAAATATAACGCCCCAGTTGACCCGATCCCTCGAATCTCCCGAACAAGACAAGTGCCAAGTGCCAAGTGCCGTCGCAGCCATTAAAAATCGCGCGCCTATAAATCAAGCGACGGCGGACCGCGCCTCGAGTATTTTCCGTGTAATTGATGGCCGCAGTTTAATTACTTTTACAACAAATAAACGTCGCACATAACCACACACAGCCACACACGTCCACACACACATGCAACACTGGAACAGCTGCAAGTGCAACTGAATACATATGCAAAATTTAACAAATTTCGTTGCGAATTCACTTTGCAACACTTTCAATTGAAACGCGTTGCACAAATTGTTCGCCAAACGCTAAACATATAATTTCATGCCAGTGACAACCCAAACAAACCGCAATTTTGTTAGAAAAAACTAAGCTGAGAGCCGCTAATCTAAAGGTAAAACCCGTTTTTACAATATCTCTTTTTCCCGAAATACAAAAATTATTCGGGATATATGGTATATTGAATTCTTGGCACGCTATCCCTGTAACAATATCATTCTCCCCTTAATCCCTGACCACGTTGTTCTTCATTCGATAATACCAGAAACTTTCTAACTTTGTCTTAAATCAATGTAGAATCTACTAACCTTTTGGCATTGTGCACGAATTTTTAATGAATATAAATGGTTGGGTTCTGGCACTTTGAAGTTACAGTTCAGAATTACTTACATATAAATGTTGACTTGGTGTTTTCGGACATACTTAGCTGAGCATTATTTCGCAACTGAAGATATTCCACTTAGTTAACGTGCCTTTAATGTGTGTTTTAGAAAAATACTACCTTTTTTTTCATTTTCGTTTGAGAATATATTTAGGCATATTGCCAGTGCTAATTAGTATAATTTCAGTTTTTATTGTTTCGCTCTAATTTAAGTGCGTTTCAATAAATTTACTCAGAAATGATCAATTTATTTAAAATAGCTAAAACTGAACATATTTAAATTGGAAAATGATTTGTCCCTTGAACATTCAACATAGTATACATAAATTATCTTAAAATATATATATAAAACATATGTATAATTGTGCCAATACGATGTGGGAAAACTTCGATTGTCGATTAGTATTTAATATCAATTCGTATTTAGTTTATTTATTGTTTTCGAATCGTTCCTTGTGTTATGCAATATGAAAGCAATTCGTTTTTAAAGAGTCGTTTTATCAACTTGATAATCCGCCAGCTAAATCGTGTTAGCAACATCTTTGATAGCCAAGAAATCAGGTGGACCTAATAATAAAATTCTGAATTATCATTTAAAGGTTTCTGCTATTATTAGAATACGTCTCTCATAAGTTCGACGACCTTTCTGTTTCCTTCTTTAGGGAAACTCCAGTCCTTTGAAACTCCAGTGTTAGTAAAAAAGATAAGGCAAGTTTATCCCATTTAAAGGATAAATATGACATATAAGAGATTTCTGACTGCTCCAAAAAGCGCCATAAAGAAACCACCATTTGTTGGCTGAATTCGAACCAAATTTGTTAAAGAGCACACACAAACACACATATGAAAAAGTACCCTCAAGTTTTACCCATCGATTCAGATAAAAAAGCTATATCCATAAGCGTGAATGCCAATCCGAAAGATTAAGCACATGGACATCAAGTCAGGCATCATCTAAATGTACTAAAGCAATAACTAAATCGACTCCGACGAAATTCGGCAATTCTCGGCCAGAGAAAAATATGTGCAATGTCAAAATTTGTTTTCGATAGTATGCTGCCAAAGTACCCACAGTTTCAGCCATTTATCAGTTCGCACTTAACCACAACCCCCCCAAATTCGTCATCAGCAGCAGTTGCCGCCGCCTTCGCCGCAGCAGCCGCCTCAGCATCCAGTGTCTCGTCGCCGGGAGTTCATCCGGGCAGCAGTGCCAGCAACAGCCATAGCAGCGGCCATTTGCAATCGTCCTCGCTGTCACCTAGCTCCAGTGCGTTGCAGCTCGGCAGCCAGCTTAACCAACAGCATTTGAGCCAGTCGTCTAACTCGCCCGTCTCTTCTTCTTCGCCCTCATCGACCGCGCAGCAACAACAGTCGCAGTACTCGTCCCTCTCGGCCGCTCTTCAACTCCAGCAGCAGCAGCACATCAACAAGTTAGCCGCCGCTGCAGCTGCGGTAAGCTCCCAAGGATCCGTCTCCGGTCTTGGTGGCCACCAGTCGCTGAGCCACGCCCATCAGCAGCTGTTGCTGACGCCACCTTCGGCGGGCAACTCACAGACCGGCGACAGCAGCTCTTCGCCGTCTCCTGCGGCCAGCTCTTCGTTTGCTATACCCACCAGCAAGATGTACCCTTACGTGTCAAATCATCCCACCAGCCATGGTGGCCTTTCCGGCATGCCAGGCTTTTCGGGCCTAGAAGACAAGTCCTGCAGGTGAGTTCAGTAAAATATTCATTTATTTTAAGTATTTTGACTTTAATACCGACTAACTGTTCCCGTAGGCGTTCGTAATTGGCAACTTTTTTCAAAATATCTTGCAAGCCAAAAGTATTCTTATTACAAAAGTAAATTATTGATCTAAATATTTACTCCAAATTATATAAACTGACTGACTTAAAAAAGAAAGGATGTTTCATTCGGGTAAAACCTACTGCGTTATACATATTCACATCCATTTAGCATGTTAGAGGATATGCCGCGTCCCAGGGTTTTATAAATGATCTCTAGATAATACCATGTGTCAAGGCTCTTAGTTGGTATTGTGTCTCTCTCTTTATGGTATTTTTGTTTTTGCAAATTTATGTATTAGGCAAAAGAAAACATTTTCCCATAAATTATATACATTCTTAGTAAGTATAAATAGGCATCTAAAAAATCGTCCGTCTTGAGGAACAAACGTTTTTATAAGATTATAAAAAATAGTGACTCCAAGTTTGAAACTTAGATTCTACTGTGTAACGCGCAAATCAAGTTTATTTCAAAACATCGAAACCTGTTTTCGGGTAATAAGCAAGAAACCATTTTAAGATTTGTTTTATTAATGATATCTTTGGGAAAAACGTAGACACTAATTGATATTTTAGTTCGGATAATGCATATATTTATATTTACATCACATCTTTATTGAAAAGCCAACCTTAAGAAGATCGGATCAGCGGATTCGTTTATGGCCGCGATATTTCTTACAGCAGCTATAAATTATCTACATAGTATCTCTTAGTCGCGCAGCCTAAGCTGAACCACTTGTTTTATAGGAATCCGATTTTGGATAATTTTAAAAAGTTTTCTCTTATCCTCATGAAAAAGTTTTTACTCTGACTGACTGACTTACTAGTGATTAACGCGCAATCAAAACCATCCGCAACTGTGGAAAACTGTTGTATGATACTTCTTTGTTTACGAGGGAACATTTAATTGGTGGAGACCCCTCGATATCCCCAAAAAATTGAAGGAAAAAAACACGTATTTATTTTGGGGATAATCTTGGACTTTGGTACTTACACACATTTGGATGCCATATTGATCCTTCATCAAACTTCATAGAGATCGGAAAGTAAATACCGAAGTAAATCACGAAAGCATTTCCCATAGTGTTAGGCCAAGGAAAGAAGCAGCGCAGCAAGCGTATGTGTATGTGTGGTTCTTTGCATGTTTGTGTAGAAGAAAGCCATAGTGTTTGTGACGGAAGCTCGAAACGGGGTTCAGGGAATCACTTTTCCGAACTATCCCGACTATAGCACTCATACTATTTGCATATAGTAAAAACTATTTTTAAAAGATCTATGTATAAATTACTACGTTTTTTGTAGGCGAAAGTTAATTGTTTGTTCGATTGTCTTTGTCCTCATTTCCGAAACATTACATTAAAAAACAAGTAGGATTGCTCTAGTTTGGAGTGCCCAAATAAGAAACACCTTTAACCCTGAAGATATATATATTTATGTACACACACAAACACTAACTCGATCATACTTAACCCAAGAAAATTCAATTTTGGACTTTTTATTTAACATACTTAAGCATACTTAGCAGTAATAAAAAATTTTGCTATCGCCTCGTAACCTACTCCAATGGTAACGATCGATCTAAATGAAATTTTGTTCAGTAGATATTGTTGTGCCAATAATTGAATGTCGTTAAAATTATGGGTGTAGTTTTAATTGAAATTGGACTATTTTGATTTTGCAGAAGGGGGAAGCGGTATTCAAAAATGAAATATACTTGGTCTGTGTATAAAATACGAGAAGCTAAAAATGAGTGGACTCTAGCTTAACATCTGCTAGATATGCTCAAAGAATAGGCTTTTGGGGCAAGCTATCGATTACCGTTTGACATTTCAAGTCTTTCAAGTCTTCAAGTCTCTAGGTTATGAGATCGACAGACACCCGAATTAAGAAACAAAACTTGGGATCAATGCGTTCTGTCCGTTGTAGTCCACATCCCAAATGGATTTTTAATTAGATCCTTGGAAATGAGTTTGATCCGAAAACATCACCCAACAAATTCATAGCGATAAACAGTTTTATAGATGCAGATTATATATTATTGCTATTTGGTCAGTTGTCTCAATGATTGGCCCACTTAGACACATCTAACAAGAACTGTTTAGTTTTATTTACGGTCAGGTCAAAACAACTGAAAATATTCGACACGGCCAAACCAGAACCCTCATTGGCTAACCGCAAATCCATTTTGAATATGCTCTAATTATCGACTAGCCCACTGACCATTCATCCAGTGGCTATTAGGGACCACAGTTCTCAAATAGCCGCTGGGCAAATTAGAGCAGCAATGCGGTGGTGCCTGCTAGCAATTTGTCGCAGGCCACAATATTCGCACGCACATTGACCTTCCGCTGCGGCCATTTGCATATGCTCGTAAGCAAGAGCTGGGACCTCGCCGCGGGCGTATCGTTTACTGAATTAGTGACAAATTAGACGTAACTACAGTTGTTGTACAGAAGTGGGTCCGGTAAAGTCACAGGCCACAGGCCGCTGTGTGTGGCTCATTAGCATCTGACTTGGTGACTTTTATGGCGGGATGGTGTTTCTCACACACAGGCACACGTGCATATGAATATGCTAATCGTCTATCGTTTTTTCTTTCTCTCACCTTACCAGCAGGTACACGGACACAGTGATGAACAGTTACCAGTCGATGAGCGTACCTGCGTCGGCATCCGCCAGCTTTGCCCAGTTCTATCAGCACGCGGCTGCCTCTGCGGTGTCCGCAGCCAGCGCAGGAGCCATTGGCGTGGACTCGCTGGGCAACGCTTGCACACAGCCCGCATCCGGCGTGGTACCGGGAGCTGGTGGCGCAGGACAGAGTATTGCGGATCTACCTCGCTATCCGTGGATGACGCTCACAGGTGAGTCAGTAAAGTCAGCGAGAAGTATGCCAACTGGCGTTAGTTTTTGGCTCGTTAGAAACCAATTTATTTATCACTGGCGCACGTAAAAAGTTCTATTAAATTCGGCATAAATCAACGCCACGCAGCGGGAGGGGAAGGCGAACAATTTGCCCGGGGATTCGCCCATTTAATGTATACCTTTATGGCCATTCGGGCGTATAAACAATAGATAAATGCGCTCGTTCTGAGCCAATTCAAAATTCATAATAAACACTTTGCGGGGCATTTTCAAGTCGTTCGATTCGCATAAGTCTTCCGCCAAATAAGAACTACAAAATTATTTCTTGACGGCGACAGGCGGACGGCCGGACAGAAGGACGGTTAGTCGGACGGATGGGTGAAATGACGTTGAAACTGGCAAACAGACAGACGAGTAGAGAGCTAAAAAGTGGCGGCAGTAAATAAAAATGAAAATAGTTGAAAAATGTGTTGTTTTTTTTTTGTGAAGCGACTCGTCGATTTGTAATTTAAATAGCTTCAAGGTTGCCACAAACACACACACATAAACACACATAAACACACACAAACAGCGCATACCAGCATACACATTCACATGCTTAGATGTGCCCCCGCGCATACAAAACTGGCAATCACTCAGCGTCAGATACTCGGCAAAAGATACAGATATATATTGTTTTCGTTGCCATGTGAGTGGTTGCTTTTTCATTTATTGCGGTTGTTGTCGGTGTTGGGGTTCCAATGGTGATGGCTGTGGTGGTGCTACTGATCTCTTTTTATGCGTTAAACGTAGTACAATATTCGCATGCAATTTATGTGGGTCAGTTTAATTTACGCGAACCTTGTTTTGCATCGCCTTTTTGCACAGTTGATATATTTATTTATTGCTCCGCATTTGCATCAACACGATTTTCTTTATAATGCTCGCAGTATGTTCAGTTTTTCCTCTCGGTTGCGGTTGAATGGCTTGTGAATTATGGCATTCACAATATAAATAAACATACTACCAATAAGACTGATTTATAAACTCGCTAAAACTCGCCATTTTTGATAATCACACAAATAATGAAACAGATTATCTACCAGCTGAGAATATAGGTAAAAATAGGATATCATTTGCGATTATGTATTTATAGCAACATTTACTGTATCAACTCAAAAATTCCATGGGTTAATCGGCTTCAGACAATGAAGGGAATGTTTCTTTATCTTTATATTCGTTACCTATTATATAAATAATAGGTATTGTGCATCTTTGGGTTATCTAAGAAACTTAGATTTGTTTTATACTAAAACAAACTAAAATTAAAGAAAGCAAACAGAGAATTTCGCTCTAGTATCTGAGATGTTTTTAAAATAATGTATTAAAATATATATAAATGTCCGGTTCGATACTTAAAATTCAAGTTACAGCCAATTTTCGCATCTAAATAGGTAACTTGTAGTATTCTGTATAAGAACAAGACAAATCGAGTGTTCGAAAACCCGTAGGACTGTCTGCTGCTAGAAGATAAACAGTATTTCGCACAATGAAATATTTTGCATATCTTTAGCTCACAGCACCACCACAGCATAAAATTGTCAACGAGATCATAGACGACTGCCTGCGATGAAAGTAAATATGAGCATGACGCCATTATGGCAGCCAAGTGCGCGACATATCGTCGCAGCCACACACACACACAAGCAAAGGCAACCAACATACTCATACAATAATGCAGATGCAGTTGAAAGAGAGAGCGTCAGACGGGGCAGTGCGCAGCCAGAGTCCATGTCAAGACATAGGCAACATTGCCATCCTTGCCCCGATACCGACTCTTTCTTCACTAAGCATTGGCTTTCTCTCTCTCTCCCTTTCCCTCTCCCTCTCTCTTCTTCTCTGTCTCTCGCTCTCACTTTTTTGCCAGTGCCACAGCACAGAGCACAGAGCCAGTCAGACCCGGACGCAGCAGCGGGCACGGCACCGCTTTACAGCTGAATGCTTGCCGAATGCAATTTAACTAATGAATTTTAATATTTTACGCCAAGGCGTCTGAATGAATTTTCATTTTCACATCGTTGCACCAACCAGCCAACAGACAACAACTACAATGTTGCAGCCATGTAACATAGCTTTGCTTACGGCCAGGGTGTGAGACGACTAGCTGCTGTGCCTGATTATGCTGATAAGAAAGCAAAGAGGTTAACTTTTCTTAATTATCTGGAAAAGCGATGCAAGCGCGACCCAAAATATACAGGCAGCATGTGCCAATAGGGGCGGCGGGGGCTCAAGAATATTAGAATTTCCAAGTGCATTACGTGCAGCAAAGCTAAAGAAATCGAGTAAGAGAACAAGAGCGAGAGAAAGGAAAGTCTGAAAACTGGTTACTTGAATTAATTTATGTATGCGTACATATAAATACTGGAATCACTAAGCGACAAAATAACCCATACCCTACCCTACTCGGAGCCCCTACCTTCTACGAATCTTAGCGACTTGGCGAATTTGTACATACAACATACATACAGACATGCATACATATTAGAGATTGGCTGTTTGTCCCATAAAATGCCAACAGCGACAGGGCAACTGCACTGAAATTTGTGTATTTTAATTAAAAACGCGCCAGGCTAGACGCTGAACAGCTTCATCTGCTTATTAATTAGGCGTCACGTCGTCGTCGTGGTCCACTTTGGATGGAGCCGGTTCAACTGTGCACTGGTCACTGGTCACTGGTCACTGGTTATTGGCCACTTTGTTGGTGGTCTGGACCTTGGGATAGGAATGGGAATTGCAGTGGCTTCGCTTTTTGCACACGGAGCTGACAACTAAGTTTAAAATGCTTTGATTGAGTGGCTTGCTTGAGTAAAAAGCAAAGACTTATAGAAAGAGAGGACAGATCGCTGGTGAATGTTGTGGGTTATGCAAGAAAAGTCTAAAAAACCATTGTAAATAATTATCATTGGAATGCGAAAAGGGAAAGGGAACCATGTGTGAGTGTGTGTATGTGATCCATGTGTAGTTAGATCTTCTTTATCACGCTCAAGGCTAAACGCGCAATTAGACATATGCAACCTTCACTATCTTTTTATGACATGCATTTAAAAACTCAACATTTTTCTTTTCATTTTTTACAGATTGGATGGGAAGTCCCTTTGAGCGTGTCGTTTGTGGCGATTTTAATGGTAAGTACCGCCAATAAAGCACTTAGTGAGCGAAACCCTTGAAAAAATCCATCGAATGACATTGGACAATGGGTTATATGCATAAATATGAATTATAAAGTATGGAAAACGGCTACCTCTAGCCTTTTCGATAATTTTCTTTTTTACGTCGGACCGTCCTTGAACCATGTTTACCTGCTGAGTGCCGCCGAGCGTTCCATGTGCAGCTGAACCCTTCTCGCTTCATTCGTCACAAGGCTGACTCCTGCTGACTGCGACTGTGACTTTTACAGCGACCTGTCATAAATCCTGCGCTCATTCGTTTGAGTCCTATTGCATACCTAGTGCGATCGTTTGTTTATTGAAGTCATTTTCCGGCTAACATCTTTCACACAACAATGGAAACATCCGGCAACTGGCAGGCACTTTTAAACTGTGAAAGTTGCTGGCAGGAGCACATAATCAAACAGAAATTATACTGCCAATATGTCGGGTAAGATCATAAATCACTTTGATAGACTGTTCGCCGATCTCAGCTTATTAAAATGGAGGCACCCAGGCCCCCCAAAATACCAGGCCCATGTGTGTGATGCCCATAACAATGGCCGAATCTGAATTGGGCACGTAACCAAATTCACAAATTTGAGGCGCCAAACAGTTAGCCATTAAAGAGAGTGTAATTCAATTCAATTCAACTCGACTTGGCTCGATTTGACTTTACTCAAGCAAATTTAGTTCGCTCCGATTGATCGATTTGACTGTCAGCGTGGATCGTGAGGCGTTCTCTGTTACGCCTGTAGTTGCTGTTCTTGTCGTTAAATTAATTTTACGAGCGTTTTATGATCTATTTACGATTTTACGGATGTTCCTGCGTCACGCATAATGATTGGTCACCATGGCTACCGCAACGTTTCGTCTCTGATTCTACTCTGAGCACCGAAATGATCGCTGCTTTATAAGTATACGCGATGATGGCGTTGCTTATGCTGCCCGATAATATGCAGAGAGACTTTCGGCGGCTTTTAAGCTCCCCTCAATGTGGCCCATATGGCAGCCGCTATGCAATTCGCTTTAATTACTTAGTTCAACGACATCGTCTATAAAACGCAAGTATCTTAATACAGAAGAACAGTCATCAACAAACACGAGTAGCACCAGCTCACGATCGTACACAATGGGAGTCATAAAAAGATTAACGACTGCGCCCGGCATTCGATTCGGTTTATATGTGACACGTAACAATTTTGTTGCAGCCATTGGTTCAATTAGTTGATAATTGGGCCATATAAAGCAACATAAATGTGAGAATAAATCGAGTATTAGAAATACATCAATGATTTGGTTTTGATTATAGTATTGTCCATATGCTCTGCTTCAGGCTGTTCTGTTCGGTGCTATATCTTGATAAAGTAGTTCCTTGGCTAATTGCTAAATGCGGTTATAAATTGGCTAGTACCCTTTATTAAAATGAAGTACGCAGTACGCAGTCTACTTCCTAACTGACGGTCACATTGCGCATACGCAAAGTATGCCAAACTTTATGTTCCTAGGCATGTAATTGCAAGACGAGTAATTGGCGCTGTTCAAACAAGTATGGAGCCCATGCAGTCTGCCAACTTCAGCTGGAACAGAGCAGAAATAAGTGTCGGATTTGACGGAGAACCGTGGCAGAGGCAGACAAAGCCCGGCGGCTTCTGTACGTGCCAGAGCTTTGCTTTTAGCTTCACAGATCGTTTGATATCCGAGTTGGGTTACCCTGCCCTTTATCCGATCGCCGCTGGCTTCGTTTGCTGTAAATAAATCACTGTGGGTACCATGGAAGTATTGTCGGAGTCATATGGCAATTTACAACACTAACAGCCGCTGTTTGACAAGTAATTAACTCGCTTTCATTCCAATTTGTCCACAGATGTGAGTGACTACTTCTGAGCGTGCGGTCTAAATTGCAACTTTTTTTTTGGATTTGTAATCGTGTTAGAATCTGGTTAGAAGACGGAATTCGATATATGTATATATACATTTATTTACCTAGCTCTTCTGTTGAATAGTAGGAGTTGCAAATTATTCGTCTTGTAATTAAAATTTGAAGCTTTTCCCTTTTTGCTTCTCTAATTTTGTGAGGCATAGGGTGAAAAGAAAGCGATATATAGGTCGTATCCACTTTCCATTCATTAGTAGCTCATTTAGTAATATTATTATCATGATATACCAAACATTTTAAGTGAGAAAAAACATTAAAATCGAAAATTTAAATTTTGGTAACATCGACACTATGGCCCGGATATAGCATGTAGTATTTGTATGAAAACCTTTCCGTTTTTTTCAAGATATCTTACCCATACTCGCCATTAACTATTTTCCCTGTGCTTCTTAGATACGGGCAGAACGTTATGAGCATAATGAAAAGGTTGGGTCTGCAAGGGTATTAAGTCTTGGCATGCTGAAATTTGAATCAGAAATTTATAAAAATGTTATTGTAAAGAGTTTTATAATAGAAATCTAAAAACATTCGATATACTTGATGGAAAAAATACAAAGCAACTTTTTTACATGTAACAGACCAACAAGAAAAGTCTCTGTTTAAAAGTTGTATTTATCAGTTCAAAAAATACATATGAATAGAATAGTATTTTCTTAGCATGTGTCATTAAGGAAAAGAGGTGGAGGATGGTGCTTTGTCCTTAGACATTTGTTATTAATAGAAAGAGGTGGAGGATGGGGTGGTGCTTTGTCCTTGGACCGACTGCAGGCTGGCTATATACAGGTTCAAAGATTTATATGGTTTGCCTTATCACCTTTATTACAGTATATGCATGAAAAGCGCGCTAAACAATAATATTCATTAATTTTATTAATTTAACATGCCATAATCATAACTCATGATAAGCGATCGCGTCAGGGTTGGGGGTCGCACTGAGGCGGCATTGAATGAAACTGACAATCGCAACAGTTCGATTTTTAGCCTCAATCCGTGTCGAAGTCCTAGGTTTAGTTCCAATCGCTTCACTGTCAAAGCGACCCAATCAACAGCACAATGCATTTGTTTCAATTTCAATTTCAGTTACGATTAAAATTTCGATCCAGCCATAGCGGATGTCAATGTCATTAACAGTGGGTTGAACGCGTCTGCGGATCTATAGCGTATGCATATGCATCATGCATATGCATCTGCATCTTCGCGGTGTCTGCCCGGCACAGATAAACGTCGTTTCGGGCCACGGCCTACCGACCCTAGCAACCACTTAACGCTTGCTCGTCTCTTCAGTCTTCAGTCCATCTCTGTCTCGCAATCTATCTGTCTTGCTGCCTGGTTGTCTGAGTGGGCGGGAAACGGAGAGCTGACAGGGCCATCCACAGCCACTATCCCGGGTTTGTTCGGACGCTGCAAGGGTTAATTTATGAGGCGCGATAAGCGAATTCCATTTCGTTTCGGTTTTGTTTAATTTCCGATTTTCTGTTGTTTCTTGTTTAATTTTTTTGTGGTATTTACATTTGACGTTTTCTATCTCACATTCTCGTTCTTTCTCTCTCTCTCTCTCTTTCGCTCGCATTCTTGCCTTTCGTGGGCGTGTCACAAGAAGAGGGGCGGGGTAAATGTACGACACCGTGTTATCGGCACGTTTCGTGCCGTATTTTTTTTTTCTTCTCCACGGCTACAGAAAATTTGAAATGACACGTTTGGGAGTGCGAGGCAACGGCAACGAGAACGACAACAACGGATCCCCGCACCACCCTGCGCCACCCTGCCTCACCCTGCGTCGCTCTGCGCCAGCATGAAGTTTTTACCCCGTGTGGCTGTTAATCTGCGGTTTTAATGCCCAAGTGGCGCAAATTGGCGAAAGAGTTTGAATTACATGGGGAGTGAGAGCACGGGTGCGCTGTCTGCCTGGCGGGGTAAGTGGGCAACCAGGGGTCAAAATGAAAGCCAGGCAGACAAACAGGCGGAGGCTGGCGTTCCGTCCTGCACCATTTCATGTAAATTTGCAGACGAAATCAAATTAAAAGCGCACACGTTCCACAGACAATATTACTCACTCTCTCACACACACACATACACTCTCTCTCTCTCTCTCTCTCTCTCACACACACACACTGAGACCTCATCCCCTCCCATCGCTTTTATTTCCATTTGGAGTTTATTCATTCGTTCGCACATGTCACAAATTCTCGACGCTAACTTTTGTAATTTTATTAATTTTAATTATAATTTGAATTTAGTTAAAGCCGCTGCATAGTTTTATTATTACTGGTATTTAAGCAAATTGTTGCTGTTTTTGTTGTTGCCATTTTGTATTAGGTGCAACTTTTGCTGAGTCGTTTTTCACGCCTCGCGTGTCCGACTGCATTTCCCAGCCATTTTCCGCACTCTGCGTGACGATCTCCATTCCGGTTGTGGCTTTCTCGCTGTTGTAGTTGTTGTTGGGCCTTCGTAGCAGCCAACATTAATTAGTGCAAGAAGTCGTTAATATAAATTTCATTACGAAATTATACACGCCGGTTAATGCACTCTGCAATTGTTTTAGTTGTTGTCATTAATATGAGAGATTAATTTTTATTATGTGTGTCTGAGATGCGATTGCTGCCATTATCGTTAGCGATATGAGCCATATAAAAATAAATATTTACATATATAAGAACAACTAATGGGCAATTCCACTTATAACTGTTCAGAGCAGGCGCAATATATGCCAAGCTTTTGATTATTAAAAGAAAAAACGAGAAAGAAGGGCCATTTTCGGCACGCCGAAGACTTAATACCCTTGCAGACCTAACCTTTTCATAATGCTCATAGTGCTTTGCCCGTATCTAAGAAGCACAGGAAAAGTAGTTAATGCCGAGTATGGTTAAGATATCTTGATAAACAAAAAAGTTATCCATACAATAACTTAATTTTCGACCGATCGTTCGTATGGCAGCTATATATAGTGGTGTGATGTAAATAAGATTTTACATAAATGGATGGAGCATAGTAAAACCAATAAATGCCGAGTTTGGTCAGATATCTTGAAAAACAAAAAAAT